ATAAATGGTTATTTATATTGAATCAAGTTTATGATGATTTAAATTATTCACCATCACAACGTATAGACTATACAATCAAATTTTTAAATGAAGAACAAAAAGTATGGTACGAACAAAATAAAGATGAAGTTAAGGACGATTGGACATTATTTCGTGAACGATTAAAACAAAATTCATCTAACTATAAATCAATTCGAACAACTGCTCCGTCAATTAATATTTCAACATTAAACAATACCGAAGTGGTCGTACTAGAAGATCTTATCGATGCAAAATTTGACAAATATTCAGGTGTTGGTGACGCAAGAAATTGGTTATTACAAACCATGAATCAGTTTAAAGCATGTGGTCTACGACGTGATGATCAATTTGAAGCTATACCTTTATTATTAGAGGGCGATGCTTATTTATGGTATGCGGACAACAGCGATACGATTTTCAACTTCGAAATATTCAGCAAGTTATTCCTTCAACAATTCAAATCAACGACATCATCACCAACGAATTCTATAGTGGGTACAGGCACATTAGTGACCAAAGTACCTGATTACTCATCTACATCACATTTACAACGAACCGTGGCAGATGAAATTATTAAGAAACCAACATATTTTCGTGGTTCACAAGATGATGTACATGATTGGTTAGACAAGTTAGAACAACGTTTTACAATGGCAAACTGGAATGACGAACAAAAATTACGATATATTTCTATACATTTACAAGATGATGCATACAGATGGTGGATGCAAACATCCACATCAATTAAAACATGGTCATCATTTATTACAGCTATTACACAAGCTTTTGGATCAACAAAGGTACAAGAAATTGCATTTGAACAATTAAAATGGTATAAACAAACAATTAACCAATCCATTACACAATATTATGACAAAATTATTGAATTATGTAAGAAAGTTGATCCTGTGATGCCTGATTCTTTGAAATTGAAATATTTAATGGCTGGAATTAAAGAATCAATGAAGACGCATGTTGCATTACAAGATCCTCAAACAACAGAAGCATTTTTATTATCGGCAAGGAAGATTGAAGATGTATTATCACTCACCAAAACAAATAATGAATTACCTGATAATGACATCACCATTATTAATTCAACTGGTTATCAAAATCAATTATACGATCAAGCAACATTCACCCGACCATCAAACAATAAATATAATCAAAAAAATACTGGCTATGCAGATGCAGCACAATCTCGTACAACTTCTAATAAGAATACAACAGCTGGAAATAACGCAAATCGACAAGATAAATTCTCAAATTCTACAAGATCAACACAGAAATTAGGTGTTTGTTACAATTGTGGTACTCCTGGCCATTATGCCCGGGATTGTACCCGTCCCCATTTTCAATAGGGGAAGCATCGGTCGATGGTGTTGCTTCCGAAAATTTACACATCAATCCATCGACATTAAACACATCCCTTTTATATCTTAATGTTTCTGTAAATAATAAATGTATGAAGGTAATGATAGATACAGGTGCAAATAGAACTTTTATCTCAATTAAATCATTAGATCCATCATCAGGTAAGATGTTTGTTAATAAATTACATAAGTGTGTAATTTTAGCTGATGGATGTTCGTCTATTTCTGTTTACGGTACATTAAATTTATCTATCATTATGGGTGATACATCAACTTCTATTAAAGCATTTGTTGTTAAAGAATTATGTGCTGATTGTATATTAGGAATGGATTTTATCAACAAGTATAAACTAATTATAAATACGGAAGAAAAAATTGTTTCACTTTATAATAATTATAAACGTACAACATTAAGATTTGATATTAATTCAAATGAAAATAAATATCCAGCACGTCTAATTAATAATATTCGAATTCCACCAAAACAGACAAGGTCTATTCCTGTTTCTATTGAACTATTATCAGCTAATGTAATATTTCGTCCATCGTTTAAATTACGACAACGAACATCTGTACTCACGTTAAATTCTTCATTAAAAGTTCATGATTATACCTCGAATGTTTCACTTTATAATCCAACGAATTATTCATGTTCATTACCGAAAGGTTTAATACTGGGAACAACTACTATTCCTACATTATCTTTCAAGAAAAATTCAACTATTGATTATGAATTAGTAAGCACAAACATCACCAATTTAATTCAACATATTACTAACCCTGATCGACATGAAAAAATTAAATCTATCCTTTATCAACATTCAAAATTATTTGATACTAGTAAATCTACAATTGCAACTAATGTAAAACCACATTCAATAAAAACACTTGACCATCCCCCACCAACATCAAAACCGTATTATACAACACCAAATAAACAAGAAGAAATGTACAAGATAGTACAAGAATTATTATATTTTGGTTTAATTCGTCCTTCTTATTCTCCATATGCTGCACCTGCTTTACTTGTACCTAAACATGATGGTACTTGGCGAATGGTGGTTGATTATAAAAAATTAAATCACATCACAATAAAAGATAGTCATCCATTACCCAAAATGGAACAAGCAATTCAAACATTAGGTGGTGGTTATAAATTCTTTTCAAAACTCGACATGAAAAGTGGGTTTTGGCAGATTCCAATTGAAGAAGAAGATCGACACAAGACTGCATTTATTACACCTGAAGGACTTTATGAATGGAATGTCTTGGCACAAGGTTTAATGAACAGTCCACCATCATTTCAACGTGTTATGGCCGATATATTATCTCCATGTCGTCAATTTGCATTAGTTTATATTGATGATATTGTGGTTTACTCTCGATCATTCGAAGAACATCTTAAACATATTCATCAAGTGCTGTCAATTTTATCACAACACAATTTTCAACTTAACCCCTCCAAGTGCAGTATTTTTCATCAACAAATTCATTATTTATCACATACAGTATCGGAACAAGGTGTTAAACCTAACCATGAAAAAATCCAAGCAATAATTAAATTAAGGGAACCTTCCACCTTAGCGGAAGCAAATAAGTTCCTGGGTGCCATTTCATGGTACCGTAAATTTATTCCTCGATTCGCAGCTATAGCTGCACCTATACACAAAGTAACAAATTTAACGAAAGCAAACAGGAAAAAATTTACTTGGGGAGAACCACAAAAAGAAGCATTTTTACAATTGAAACAATTGTTGGTAACCTCGCCTTTATTTTTGGATTATCCTGATGAAGATCATCCAGTTATTTTGACAACAGATGCATCAAAAGTTGGTATTGGAGGAACATTACAACAACACATTAATGGTGAAACCAAAAATCTTTATTATCACTCTCAAATGACATCATCCAGTCAACGAAGATATGATCCAATTGAATTAGAAGCCTTAGCAATATGGATGTGCTTTCAACGTATGCGACCATATTTATTGGGAAGATCAATCATTATTTATACAGATCATTGCCCGTTATGTAACATGATGAAGTCAACAGTAAAAAATCGAAGAGTTGATCGTATATCAATATTATTACAAGAATTTAATATCGAAAAGATCATCCATATTAAAGGTCAACACAATTGTTTAGCTGATTACCTATCCCGTCATCCAATTCCAAGAGAAGAAGAAATATTTGACGAAGATTATGGTATTGCTAAACGAGATAAAGGGGAACCGACTGTTATGAGTCGTGTTCCTGATGATACTACTCCACTAGCTGGAGCAGTTACGACAAGGTCCAAAATGAAACAACTGCAATTAAAACAAGATCAAAATTCAACATTACCACTAATAGAAGAAGAAACTGATCAAACAAAAGAAGATTCATCACAAATTATTGCAAAAAATACACTGGATATAGAACAATTAAAAATTGAACAAGGAAAAGATTCGGATATTCAACAAAAAATTACAGAAGTTATGAAAAATCCAATTAAAAGTACCTATGAATTCAAAGATGGTTTATTATATAAGTTAATGATTATGCGTGAAGGTTGTAATACGAAGAAAAAATTAATTTATTTGCCCTCATCTATGATTAACGATCTTTTACAAGTTTATCATAGTGACCCTCTTAGTGGTCATTTTGGAGTCCAACGAACATATTTGAAAATTAAAAATAAATATTGGTGGCCGGACATGAAACAATCCATCACTCAATATATACAATCATGTTTACCATGTCAACAATACAATATTAGTAGATCGAAGAAACCTGGTCATTTACAACCCATTCCACCTCCTGAAGGACCATTTCAATTAATTGGTATGGATTATTGTGGTCCATTTAAACGAACACCTCGTGGCAATCAATATGTACTATGTATTACAGATTATTTCACAAGATGGGTGGTTGCTATTGCGGTACCTGATTGTTCAGCTCAAACAACAGCTGAAGCATTATTTAATGAATACATTTGCAAGTATGGGGTACCAGCAGTAATACTATCCGACCAAGGAACGCACTTCCTCAATCAGTTAATGGAAGCTATGTCAAAATTAGTCGGATATAATCACATTTATTCAACAACGTATCATCCTCAATCAAATGGAATGGTTGAAAGATTCAACGCAACATTCGTTCCGCAAATTGCCAAGCTCCAAGATAGAGAAAACAACAATTGGGATGAATTCTTGTTACCTGTAGTATTTGCATATAATACAGGAACACACTCAACAACTCAATATTCACCATTCCAGTTATTGTTTGGAAGAGAACCAAGACTACCTCCTGATGGAAAATTATATTCATTTACATTTAATAAACCAAATGATTATTATGAGCAATTGAAAAAATGTATGAAAGTGATGCATACATATGCACGTGAATATATTCATCGTCAACAACATTCATAATTTCTTCATCAACAACACCAACAACATTTACAATTTCTTCATCAGTACCAACATTTACAATCATATCAAATCATCATCATTGTCTCGAATTTTACCTCGATATTTACATCTTTCGTTGTCTTAACAAATCGAATTGTTTATTATTCAAACAATTACATTTATTTAATCGTCTTTCACTTGATCGAGTATTAGAATGGCGGAAAAACATCGTTCGTCAAAACCTTCACCATCTCGTTCATATCATCGTTCACCATCATTTTCACAACATCGTTCATCAAAGCGACAACGATACTCACCATCATCATCACATCGAGATAATTCACCAACACATTATCGCAATTCATCACAACGAAAAAATTCAACATCACTTCATCGAACATCTTCACATTATTCATCAACACATTGTTATTCTTCACCATCTCAACATCCAGTATTTGGACATGGTTCAAGATTTTATTTACCGTCATCCAATTACCGACTTGTATTCGTCAACAATGAAACTTCATTACAAGTGATGAATCAGATAATGGATCACGTGGCACAATGTCGGTTATATGCAATAGACACGGAGTCTGAAATGTCCAATAATGAACTAGCTTTAGTACAAGTTCAATCGATGCCTCATCAATTACCATCTTACATAATTTTTATTGAATTACATCATTTACCTAGTCCAAAATCAGAAATGTATGTATATGTAAAAAAATTGTTTGATTTAATCTTTAGATCAACAAACAAATTGTACGGATGGGGTAACATATACATGGAGTTAAATTCAATTCAAAATTTAATTACACGGACTGAACCAGCTGAGCTTATTAACATCCAACCTCATTATGCTATATGGTACGAAAGGGCACGGATTCTTTGTAGAGTCCAGAGCCTGATGAATCAACCTGAAGAAGATAATGATGTTAAAAATGATCGACAAGTTGCTGCACAACCTGCATGTTCGTGTCATCCTGTAAGTCCATATAAACCAAGTGAATTATGGTCGTTACAGAAGGCTCTTTTTTATGCAAGTGGATTGGTCATTGAAAAAGAATGTACAAGGAGTCATTGGGCACAGAGTTTGACGTCAACAAGCTCATCATTATCATATTATACTCAACAGAAGATGATCGATTATGCTAAGGAAGATGTGATGTCAGTGATATTTCTTCTAAGACCAATAATGGAACAATGGACTTTTACAATGATAAAAGATCGAAGAATCGATGAAGTATTTATGGCATTCCAACCGACAAAATTACCAACATTACCAAAACCACACAAGAAAAAGAACAAGAACAAGAATATTGATCTGGGAAAATTTTCAAGATTGTTGTACGGAAGAGATCCAGGTTTATCAGATGAAGAAATTTATCTATGCCAACTCATCGAAGCAAAAGATTCAAATGACAATGATGTTACAGCTAATGATGGTGGTGTTGTTCCTGCAGTGATTGAAAAATCAACTGAAGAATTAACTGAAGCATTACAACATGATTTAATAGATAGTTCAGATGATGAATTATTATGTGGTAATGATGAACTAAATGCAGCAATACAAGAACAACAATTTGATCAAGTAGAAAATGAATCAACTGATGTTGATCTTATTTTAAATGTCAAGCCTGATACACCAATTGAACAAGCACCACAACAACAAATACAACATAAATCAGTTAGATTAGGTCGAGCAAGAAGAAGTAGTGCATGGAAGAAACACAACAACAAGAAGCGAAATAATACGAAGAAAAAAAATCGTTATCGATATTTCATTAAATTCGACTATTATAATCGTTTTCCGAAGAAATTAATCAGGAAGATTCTTCGATACTACAACATCGAATTTACGCACGTCAAAGAAGATGATGATAAAAGATTATTAATTGGATTAAAGAATAGTGAATGTGAACAAGACGCACGAAGGAAATTATCAAGCAGCATGTTCAATAGAAACGGTTACTTCCATTATCGAAGAAAATTTGGACATTAACCTCGTGCTGTTATTTTTTCTATTTTTTTATATATTTTTTTTTTTTTGTCTTTCCTTTTTTGTGATCTGTATCCGGTGCGTTTGCTAGTAATGTTAACAGATATTTTCTCTCTCTCATTTTTTTTTCTCTTCTGAAAAAGTATTTGTGAACAAAACTTTTTTCTTCAAGGGGAAGGGTGTTATGGTTTATTTCATTCAGCCATGACATCTATACCTCGACTAT